ACCCACATGCCTTTTTTTTTTTTTCTTAAATAGGAAAGCTATCCTGTTGCAAATTGTTGTATTAGGAAACTTTCTGATTTTCTCACTTAAAGAGAAAAAAACACCAAGAATAAAGCACCAAAAAACCATCTGCCTCCAAGCCAGAACATTAGGTTACGGACTGTTAAATATAATTACAAGTCAATCGTAATACCTACAGTTTGAGAGTAGTAGGATTTAAATTTGTAAATGCTGAAGTTTGAAATAAACAATTTGGATTCTAAAAGTCTCTCCTGTTACTGACTGCCACACCACAGATAGATTTGAGCTAAAGATAAATGCTGGAAGCATTCATAAATTAGATCCAAATAATGTTTGCTATTCTGGGATCTTGGAAAAGGGGTATGTTAACCCATACATGGCAGTAGAGATAAACACAACTTCAAGTTTCTATACTTTTTCCACTCTTTTCTAGTTCCCAAAACAGTAGATGTATTACATGCAAAACTTGTACATTGCACGAAGCTGCACACAAACCTTCTGTAAAAGATACTCAAATTTGCAAAACTAAGTACAAAGATGAAAATCTGAACTGGTAAGTAAGCCTTCAAGCTTCAGGGTGGCTTATAAAATCAGATACAGTGACCGACTGACAACTGTAAACAGCTTTGCTTAAGAGTGCTGGCAGGACACAAGACTGAACGTATCCTTGCCATCTTACTCATTCCCTTCTCTTTATGCAGTTCCTCATAAAGAGGAACTCCTCATATTCGAGAGCAAATAATGAAACGCTTTCATACTTCACACTTTCCCCACAGCACATCAACTCTTTCCTAGGTTGATCCATCCCGTGCAGTTAACAAGGGAAGGTATCTGTGATGAGATGGATAACGCACAATGAGACAGTGCTCGCACAAAATGTCAACTAAAGTCAACTAAATGATATCCACATAGATACAGCTATTGCACAGAGCGCTGCCACTTTCACCTGACCGAGCAATCATAACTTCTTGCCATCCTGCATTTTGACCAAAACCAAAGAGGGATAAGGCAAACAAAGCAAAATCCACCAATAACCAACAGGAAGGTTATTTTAGTTTGAATCCAAATTCACCTTTGAGAAATCTTCTGGTAGAAGAAACCATTTTCCTCTTCTCCCAACAAGCGCATGGCTTCCTGCTCCGTACCTTGTTCCCATTCTGGTCCTGTCTGACTACACCCACATCAGATGGCTGATCAGTGTGTCACAGCATGAATTCAAGCACTGTCCCACAAACCATTTAATTGTTAGCACCTTCTGGCCTGGTTTGGGCCCCTGTTGTTCCAGTTAATGTCCAGGCACGTTTTAGGACACCATGTAGGCCAAGGACTGTTCCCCGTATGCAGTATGGGCAAGACTGTCCTTTTGCGGGGAAGGAGTTTAGCAGGGCTGAAGAAGAGGGGGATGGATCAGTTAGTCTCTCATCCTAAAGAAGTTGGGGTGTGTCTGGGTGTAGAAGCAAAGGACCATCAATTCCAGTACTTAACAACTCCTAACCCTTCACTGCTGTGCCAAGTGGCTCAGCTTCTCCACCACGACTCCTGACCCCTTCATCCGTCTCATTAAGATCCCTCTTCCAATTTCTCTTCCCAAGTATGGATTCACTGTGGTTCACCCCTTTCGCTGCTGCTTCCTCCCCAGCGTGAAGCAGAAGTTGGGTGGTGGTACAGAAACTCTTTCAGAAAGCTATGAATGCTCTGTGTGTGTGCAGGTCCTAAAAGAAATAATGAAAAAATAAAAACAGAGAAGCATGCAGCAGTGCATAGTTGTAGCTAGGAAACAGCCAAGCTCCTTAGTGATCCCTTAGCGAAAGACTGGCTCCTTTTTCCTCCGTTGCAAGATGTTGATTTACAACCTGGGCCAGTGCAGCCTTGGACAGGGCCACGCACAAGCACTGCGAAAGGGTGCGCAGGCAGCAGCATGTGTGGGAGGTCAGACCAAATCCTCAGCTATATTAACGAAAGAGCAAAGATAGACCCCCACGGAGATGAAGTAATTTAATGGAAAACAGAGCGCACATCCATGATGCAAAGACCATGGATTTAGCCACGGCTAAATGTCAGCTCTTTCCAAAGGTACGATTATGTCTAAATCTTTTAAAACATCGACAGAATCAGAAAATGCAACTTAATTCCTGAAGGACCACTCAGTTTGCCTGAAACTTCAGCAAGGTATCAAATATGAGGCATTTCAGCAGTTATGAGAGAAAAAAACCTCCAAGCATTGCAATGTGGATATCTCAGTTATAAAATCACAGGGCTACCAGCTCCAACTATAATAAAAATAGCCTAAGCATGATATACTCCGAAAGGGGAAGCTTCCAAACACGTCCACTCACAAGCTTACCAAAATTTACAAGTTTGCCAAGCAAGTTGGTATTTAGTTAACCTAGAATTTTCTTTCGAAATCAAAACAGTTTGCTTTCTTCAGAAGGGTAAACAAGAGTAACCCTGACAACTAATTCATTGAATTGAGGGACTGAAATCTGACATGTGAAGAGATGATGCCATTTCCCATTAAGTCACCTTTATTCCATAAATCCTTTTATGTGGATAAACTAGTGCTTACTGTACAAAGTGGCATTTGGCAACTTTTATGATCAGGTGATGAGAATGATCAAGTGCTGGCCAAATAGTTCAACATGTACAATGAGTGTCTGACGTACTACAAACTTCTAGAGAGGAAAACTTGCTTTATCCAGCTGCATTGTCGTAAAATATAAAGAGAAAAGATTATGCCACAGAATACAGTCACAGCTATTTTTGTAAAGAACATTTTAAAGAAAATTTAAGATTTAAAAAGCATCGTTCTAAGATTAAGTGGAGAGAAAAAACTAATCCTATTTATACAAATAAAGGCCAAACATGCTTCTCCAAAAGCTGATTAAGCAGCCACTGCCCAGGAAATGACCAGAAACATCAAACAGAAACATGTTTTATTCTACTTACAAGAAATAACACTTCAGGATATGTCAGTGTGTCAGTTATTAAAACCTAAATCACTTTCATGGGAAAAAGGTTTCTAAACCAGGAACAAGTAAGAGTGTATAAAACATTAATGCAGAAAATGTCAAGTACTGCCTGATACATGATAAATGCTTAAACAAAAAAGAAAGGGCCCTGCTGTTCTTTGTGTTGAGTGATTTCCAACTTTAAACTATAAGATACAAATACAAAGCAGCATTTGAAACTAGAACTTATATTTAAAGTGGAAAACTAAACAAGAGTACAAGTTGAGTAGCTTCAAACAATTCAGCCATTAAACAAACTGACGCCAACTATTAAAGTTAGTGTTGCGGTCACTTATTTTCATTTCCTCCTTCCACTTTGGGAAAATTCATCTACTCATTACTGATGCCAATGTAAAATTCAATTCTATATGACTATGAAGTATTATGAAAATAATTTTGTGAGGTGTCGAACTCAAGGTAGCTATTTACAGGAATATTAGGAACAAGATATTGTTTCTGATGCATATCAGTATTATCTGTAAAGCAGTTTCGGTAAATCTGCTGGATTGCTGCATTGACCGACTAGTGCAATGCAAAATTTCAGACATTTTGAAAGACTTCACAGCTTTTAAAAAGCTGAGAAAAAATAAGTGCGTGCTACAAAGTTTTAAAAAGTACATAAATTAACACAAGGAACTGTAGGCAATACCATCTCAATGTAGAAGTTTCCAGTACAAAGTATAGCAAGATTTATGTAAAACCAAAGATTTTAATGTTATTAATGTAAATCACTCTACAGCGCTTTATGATGTTCCTCCAAGCGGAGGTCAGCTCTTCCTTTAAAGTGGAGTTTGCTATTTTCTATGATGTGTGGTTCTTACATTTTTAAACATCTTAATAATGTTAAGCTAATATGACAGGAATTTAATATTACAAAAATTCCTTTAGAAAAAAAATATCTTACGCACAAGATAAAGTTAGCATGTCATTCAGACATCTGACACTACTCGGAAGCATAGTTTAATATCCTGTATTTACATTATTAATGTAAACATAAATGCACACTAAATTGCTGCTTATATAAACTATATAATATGCACTCTTATTAACTCCTCCTTTTTAAAATGATAATTAATTCTCAAGCATGTAAGAGAAGTTAATTAATCCTGACTTTCGCATAACATATTAGAAAAAGCACTTTGTTTTCAGAAAGTGTTTCTACCATTACGCACGTCAAGTACAAGAGCTTTTAAGTGCTCAGTGTACCGTGCCTACAATGTTTTCTTACTTTACTACACCGATCAGCAGAGGTACTCCATTAGCTCTCTGTACCCAGCAATTACAATACATACTCTGGCCCCCAAAAGGAAAAAAAAAAAAAAAAAAAAAAAGACCAAAACTAATTGAAGTTTTACAGAGGTTCTTGTCTGTTCAGATCATTTCTAGAATAAAAACTTTAATAATGAACTTTGCTCTTGGCTGCATAGTTACCTGTTAATAGGATGATTTGTACATGCAGTTGTGATGACCCGGTGCCTCATAAGACTAAAGCAGCTCAGTTTGTGCCAATAGTTCAGCCTAACTCATGGGATTCAACTTTATTAGAATACACAAAGGAACTTAAATGATATGTATGGTGTGTAGCTTTCTTTAAATGCAAGCATAATTTGCAGAAGATTTCACAAAGTGAAAATGTAAAGTTTTAACTAAAAAAATTAATGCTTGAAGTGTCCCGATTCTATCCAGAAGGGCTGAAAAGTTTGTTGTTTACTTTACAATGGTAAACACATTACTCCTTTTTTCTTCCTTCAGTCTAGCTCGTTGCCTCCTACCTACCTAAATCTCTCAGACTTAAAAACTGCGTATAAGCAGAGCGGTAAGTTTATTATGTTTCTGCTTCCTGCCTTGTTTTATCTATCAGTGATCTAAATTCTGTGGCCTTGTATCATGCTTGCAATATTAGAACCCAGTCCTCAATTGGCCCCCGGAGACTAAACAGAGCATTAAATGTTAATCAGCAACACTACTTACCACATTGAAATCTAAGTTTTTTTCAACCCACTCTTTGGCTTCCTTGAATTCCTCTTTCATTTCCATGATGTATAGTGTATCAAGGGCATCCACTATTGTTGCTCCTTGAATGTTACCTGAAATACATGAAGAGCCAGTGATTTATTTTGCAACAGAAGGCTTTTCATTAGATCTAATTAATTTAAATTAATTCTAATTTCAAAATCCAATTTCAATTAATCCAATTAAAAATTGGGCGTATAAGCATTCAAGTGGGCAACTAGTAATTCACAGCCTTAACTTTGACTCCCATGCCACAACACAGCATCATAATATTTAAGCATTTTTTTTTGAGCGGTTCTGATGCACTGCATTTTCAACCATGATTTTGCATTTTTAAACACTGATGGAAAAGTTCACTGTAAAATGTAATTCATAGAAGACAATAAATCTCAATAAATGGAGAAATGACTGTTTCTTCCAGTTTGGAGTGAAAAAAAAAAATCAGTTAACTTTTTGTTTTTATACTCAATAATATACATAAAGCTTTAAGAAGCTGATAAGTAGTGATCACACTTCAGTTAAGCAAGCCTTTTAAGAAGTACCTTCTCTGAAAAACAATTTTTCTGATACTGTCCATCACCATGTAACCTGCACAAGATAGCACTAGGGAAGCAAAGGCAAACTTGCACACATCTGAATTTCTCAGCTCAGGACATACTGCCAGACATCGGTTTTCAGAGCAAGTTCTGGTTGTTTGCAAAAGTGGCATCCTTCTGCCTCTGTTATGGAGATGGGTAAGAGTCAGTTTACTAGCCTGCAGCTAGTGTTGCAAGATGAAGTATCATCAGTATGTTAACTTTGGCATGGATTAATCCATGTTCATGATCCTGCACTGAAAGGGTAATGTGGAACGTCGGGGAGAAAATAAAGCCACTCAACTGACTTTCCCATGCTTCCTTCAAATTTACAATGACCTTTTTAAAACACCATTTTTGTCTAAGAAAATCTTCATTATGAATGCAAACTACTGTTATGATATTCTTTAGAGAAGTGACCATTTAGAATTGCAGAATAATTTAGGTTGCAAGGAGCAGAGGAAGTCATTAGGTCCAGTCTCTCTCTCCCCCAGCAGTGCTAATGACTGGGGTGGATAGTTGAGTACTCATTCAGGAATTGATTGCGCTGGGCGAATAACAAGACAGTAGCTACAACTAACTTTACAGAACTTGATTATCATCTTGCCACTGAAATACCTGATGAAAAAGTAAACTTAGTTTTGTAGACTTATCAAGATCAGAATTGAATTATTCATATTTAAGTAGGAAATCCACTATTTCAGTCAACTCTTGTGTTTATTACCATCAAAGTTTTCTTCTTCCTCATGAAATGGAGGAGTGATTGGAGACCTCCATATAGCAGGATTGACATCACTTTCTTAACCTAAGCTTCCAGGTAGAAAATAATTTTCCATTTGTATCATCTTAAACAAAATAATACTTGAGATTATTATAACAGTTACTTGGTACATTTAACATAACCAGATGCTCTCTGTTTTAGCAGCTGCTAATTGCTTATACCATCCTTTTTCGAACGTCCCCTTCCTACTCTGAAGGAAGTAATCTATGTTTTCTCCCAGATATTCACTAATAAAACTGCAGCATACTTTGGTAAGAAGGACATCATATCTTCCCATATCTTATCTGGAGCTTGGCTGCCCTTCTCTCATATTAAAGGAAAAGCATTCCTTTAAACTTGCCTAAGTAACTTGTATTTTTTCTGAGCTCATGAGAAAGTGGGAGCGATTGTGGAAAACTGCTGGAGGACATGTGCTCAAGAACTGCAAAGGCTCTACAGATGTTTACTAACTCTGTACAACAAAAGTAGCTCCTGGTGAACTTTTACAGCTGAGGTCTACTTATGGAAAAATCATCTATAACTTGATTTGCTTGAGTGGATTGCAATAGGCTCACTGTGCAATGACATTCTTTGTGATAATCCTCTTGTAATACAGCTAACACCACCTCTAAACAGTTGAGCTTTCAATTTTAAGGATTAGTACTTGAGCTGCAACTCACTACTGAGTCAGAAGAAAAAGAGAATTCAACCTTATTGAGAAATCACCCTTGGAGTCACCCACTTCCCATGATTTTTTTTTGTTTTCTGAATCTGGCCTATATGGCCTGCTTAGAGCATAGACCTCTCTCTGCAGGCAGGCAGACAGAAGAAAATGGGAGAACCTCAAGTAGATCTTACTTTATTTGAAACAACTTTTGCTATTATTCTGAAGGCTCCAGAAAACAGAATAAAGCAATTAATGTGACAATTAAATAGTCAAGTTTGTCTCGAACAGTTATACTTCAAAATTCTTGATAAAAGAACACAGAATGCATTTTTAAAGTGTCAGTTTAGAGGTTAGAATTACAACTTGTGAACAATTGCAGTTTACGCTAAGTTAGCCAACAGGATAATCCAAACTTAAGAGTGTTTAGAAAATTGTGTAGCTGAAGAGCTCATTTATAATCAGTCAGACAAACAAGAGGGGCGGAGGCGGGAGAGAGAGAGAGAGAAGAAGAAAAAGGAATGCAAAGACATTAAATGAACATTTCTTATTATGGAATAAGACCAAGTATTTCTGCCTATATATGCTATGCTTCTCAAAGCACATCACATAAATTATTAAATACAGTTATCGTTCATGTTAGTTCCTATACAACGGTCCCAAAAAATTACACAGCAGTCATGGTCTACAAGAGGCAAAGATTATTGCTAGGCAATTACAATACACACTCATATGACACAGAATACTGGACAGGAGGACTGTTCTGTTGTACACCTAAGGCACTGCTATAAATTCATTAACAGTGAGAGAGCATTGGGTTACAAAAAGTGCCAGCAAAGCTACAGTCACTGTAGTACAGTTTCATAGTTGCCCTAGGCAGAAGGAAGATATGACAAGTAATACTCAGAGCAAATTCATACACCTCAAGTAATTACAGATGTATTTTGCAGACAAAACAAAAAATAGGATACTCAAGGTAGAGAAAATGGACTTGAAATTCATAAAACATAAACTTGAAGTGAGTAATTTTGATGATAAAAGAGATAACCAGATGTACTACCAAAGTGAAGGCCTACCAAAGTGAAATATTATTAGTCTCCACCAAAACCTCCGAACCAAGTACTCATATATGCTCCATTTTACTTCCTTTGTTAAACCTGCTTCTGTTTTCCTTTCTCCTCTTTACTAACAGCATCATTTATTCCATGTAAGTGATTAATAGAGTACACATAAAATGGCCTACAAGCTAGTTAACTGAAAAGAAAGCAAAAGAAATCAGTGAACATGTAACTTCAAGTGGACTATCTAGCAGCATCTACAGAGCATCCTTTCCAGTTTAACACTTGAAATCTTTAGCAATGATCTGGAAGAAAATAAAAAGAACCTACTGCTAACAAGAATTGTGGATGATTAATGAAGATGGCTGATTACCCAGCATTTCAGAATAGTGCGATATAAAGCACAGAGCTCTAGATCACTCCTGGGTAGTACACAGTAGGTCCATTTAAGCAGCATGCTTTTTACTATCTAACAATGCAAAAGTATGTGTACACAAATAAGAAAAGGAGATTATGTTAGAGAACAGAGTAGCGCCTCAGGGGCAGGGGGGCAGAGCAGAATAAAAAAAAGTGATCAGAGGATGAATAACTTTTTACAAGTTTCCAGAGTGTCACTGCAGGGAGAACTGCTATGGATGACAAGCTTATTAGCACAGCTCTGTGACTGAGCTTATGTGGCCATATGGTTTAAGAACCACAACTGGCTTATGGCCAAACTGTTTGGAGGGTGGACCAAAAGAAGCTTTTATTTGTCTAGCCCAGGTTTTTAGACATGGCTTATATTTTTGCCAAGAGTCTGAAACAGAATACAGCCAGGATGCCAGAATCAATGCGTGTCAGTGCACTTAATAGTTTGTTTATAACTTTCCTCCCATCCCTTGAATACCAAGTTTAGGGTTTGGTTCTCCAGAACATCCACATTCCTCACCCGTCAAATATATTTGGAGATATATAAAAAAAAATAGATATACACACACACACACACACACGTATATAACCATACATATCACAGAACTGTTTGGATTGGAAGGGACCTTCAAAGGTCATCTAGTCCAAAACCCCTGCCGTGGGCAGGGACATCTTCAACTAGATCAGGTTGCTCAGAGCCCCCTCCAACCTGACCTTGAATGTTTCCAGGGATGGGGCATCTACCACCTCTCTGGGCAACCTATGCCAGTGTCTCACCACACTCATTGTAAAAAATTTCTCCCTTATGGCTAGTCTGAATCTACCCTCTTTTAGTTTACCCCTTGTCCTGTCACAACAGGCCCTGCTAAAATGTTTGTCCCCATCTTTCTTATAAGCCCCCTTTAAGTACTGAAAGGCTGCAATAAGGTCTCCCCGAAGCCTCCTCTTCTCCAGGCTGAATAACCCCAACTCTCTCAGCCTTTCTTCATAGGAGAGGCATTCCATCCCCCTG